TACAATGTAAGCGTGTATTTAATAATGCAATCCCTTCCTCGTGAGACTTTATAACACAATGATAAACGAACCTTCTCTTTTATTGCTTTTATAGGCGGATGAGCACACGACCCGTCTAATCGTAGATAATCACCATCATGGACATCAGCTATGCTAGAAGCGCAACCAAGATTCTGCCAATTGCAAATAAATTTTTATGTTGCATTTTTAAGCTATTGCATAGCTTTTATCGCGGGCCTTGAGCGCGGCGGAATCATGAAATTCCGTAACAAAAAAAACCTTACACCCCTCACTCCGCCTACCGTGTAGCTCGCGTTCATTCCGATAGAGGCACCCGTCACGTGCGGACGTGCTCATCGTCCACTCGATCGCCCGGTCTTTGTTCGCCCGGCTTTTGTTAGCCCGGCCATTGTTCGCGCGGCCTGTGTTTGTGGTACATCTGCCGACTAAGTGCTCTTTCTGGAAGTTTTTATTTGTTTTGTTTCCTTTTGTTGTTTCTGTGTTNTTCTCAGCGGGTCGCGATTCCGATCCGGTAGTAGATTCATTCGCGAAACAATTGCTCTTGAGTTGTTAGGTCTCCTTCGGAGGCGCTCGGGCAGTTGTTAGCAAATCCCACCCCTCTTGGCTGAGCCTTTGCTCGCCCACCTGTCCTGGTGAAACTGGAAAGGCCTTCGGGCCACCAGTAAACTTTCAATCATAAAAAAAAAAAAAGCTCGCGTTCAACACATTCACACGTTGCGCTTGTGTAGTGTTTGTGGATAAGCACGTGGCGTGATGTTACACTGCATGCGCATCATGAAAAGTCTGCCCATCTCTCTCTCGCGCGGTCTAGCTTATGAGTGTGAAGGGAACAGTTAAGGTTTTGCTTTTATTAATGTTTAATATAGCGTGGTCTTGTTTTATTATTAAATTATTATTGTCTTATTATAATTGCATAAGTTGATAAAAAATGCTATGCAATAGCTTTACCGCAGTTCCCGAGTGCCACACGTTTTTTTTTTTCTTTTTAAGTTTCGAATATTGCTTTTTATTCTTGTTGGCTCACTGAATATTGGACGCTTTGCTGTATCAATCGTGCTTTATACACAAGATTTATCAGTTATAGTGACAAGACCAGCTTAATGTATCAATGTCATTAAGAAATCAATTTATGTCCTAAAGCCACAGGACGGAGTGCACCCTGCCTATTTCTGTCATGAAGCAGTCTTTATCGTTTTTAGGGTGGAACAGCCGTTAAACAATTGAGGCTTGACCATGAGGCTTAGATCATGTTTCAAGCATGGATGGCAGGATTCACGTTGATACCTATGAACCCTGGGAACCACTCAATAGCCCGTAAACCCGATTACCTATCTACGCAATAAACAAACAATTCATAATTAGACCTCCAGCAAAATAAGAAAATCATTAATTTTATTATCTAAGATATCAACTACAAGTATCGTCATACCACGTTTTATAATCCACTGACATTTGAATAACCGTAAAATTTACGAGCTCCCAAAGTTTCTTTATTTTTTATTTTTTTTAATTTTTTCCATTGTGACTCAGCGCGTGCTCCCGTGAATACCATATGATTTCCATTATTTACATTTCGAAGGACCATCGAATACCGTACAATAGGTTACCGTTCGACACAGTACAATAATATTTGTAAAGGACGAACAATGTCGGCGTAATTAGTATATTGTTCGGTATTCTTAGAGAGGAATGGAAATTTTATATGCATTGAAAATGTACTTACCTATCCCGTTACGTGGAAGAGTATTTAAATCTATGAAATATGTGTACGCATATGAACCTAAATAATGTGTAAATCAATTTACTTATTTATATATCATTAAGGTTTTCAGTAAACGACTGCAAAACTAAGATCTTCAAATCATCAACAAATGTTGTTCGGAATTTGAATGTTTTCATTTTTTTTAAATCACTAAATTATCACCGTTAGCGTGACTTATTCTTTTTGCACAGATATACATTATTAACAATATCCGAGTACTAATGTCACTACGCTTTGAATTCATAAGTAATAACTTTTAGCATTGTATAATTTAGTAGTGACAAATATACTTTTAAATGGCACTTTTATAATATACTTTTTTGCCGATGCTAAGGTCTTTTTCTGAACTTTCACAGGTTGGTACCACCGCCCTGCGTATTTCTATCGCGAAGCAGTAACATGTTCCGGTTTTAAGAGTGAGGCAGCCTTATTCCTATAAAACTGAGGCTATCTATAGCGACTATAACTCATATCTCAAGGCGGTCGGCACTAACATTGTCGATGTCTATGGGCTTAGATAATAACTTGACTCCAGGTGGGTTGTGAGCTCGTTCACACGTCTGAGAAATAAAAAAATAATACGTACATAAGCTTAGAATGTATAGAAATAAAAAAAAAATTACACTCTCCTACTAAAATTACAAAAGTTTTAAATTTTAGTTATAGTTTAAATAAAAGCAGGTGCTATCGTTAAAACAAAGCAGGCACAGCATTAACTCCAAATAGCCCATCGTATTAATCTCTAATATTGCATTCTTAAAACTATACAATTCGATTTTATTAATGAACGAACAGGCGCGTGCATAAATAGAAAATTTCACCGTTATACCCACTTCCACGGACTAGAATGTTATTTAATAAATTTTAACTAAAACCAGATCACCGAGCGTTAACCCTAACAATTCGATATCGTTGCGCACGTACGCATCCTCGTAAAATTTACCATTCACTCAAATTTATTGGGTATCGACTTTATTGTGCAGTTTTTAAACCAACGTAAACAAGCTAAAAGCGTTCAAAAAGTAAATTCCTTTTTAGTTTCCTTCGCACAGACCAACACACAGTTTAAAAAAACATCCTTAACCATCGATAATGCTATTAAAACGTCACATGCTCCGCTAATCAGCTGTCAACCTTGATATCTTATTTGGCATTTTTTTCTTGCCACGCACTTGCAATCATTTTGGAAATAAGCTAGGATTATCGATGATGCTATTAAAAATGTTACTCCATTTCATTTTGTTTTTCAAATTAGACTATGTTATGAACTTTCTATTACCGTTACCTGTGTCTATAGACGCTACAACAATAATTTGAATACCGTCAACTATCCTCAAACGTAATGTAGATTTATTTGTGTTTGTTTAGTGACAGAAACAGGCGGAATTGCGCTACCAGTCCATACGGGATAACGACCTGCGCTCTCTCGAGACGTGTCATATGATTTGTTACATTACAAATAAAGGCATAGATAAAAACAACCAACACGTCAATTGTATGGCACTATTATCTGTGGTCTTCGGGAATGGTTCCCACACACCCTGTATACATGTAATGTTGCTATATTTGTGATAAAATAAACATGTCGGTCCGTGATTTGTGCGGTGCGCTGAAGTGTATTAGTTTTGATTAATAACAAACAACGGTGCTTACAGCCGGATTCTCAGATAGCACACGTGCAATTATTATTATTATTATTTTATTACTTAGATGGGTGGACGAGCTCACAACCCACCTGGTGTTAAGTGGTTACTGGCCCATAGGTATCTACAACGTAAATGCGCCACCCATCTTCAGATATAAGTTCTAAGGTCTCAGTATAGTTACAACGGCTGGCCTGCCCTTCACGGCAGAAATAGGCAGGGTGGTGGTAGCTACCCGTGCGGACTCACAAGAGGTCTTTCCTACCACCAGTAAAGTTTTTGGGTATATAAGCTACATTAACTTAGCCCCTGCTTGTGACTGATATGGGTGGCCTGGCCCATGTCAGTGAAATTGATGGTATATGACGGTAGTGATCAGTACCATCAAATGGGCCGTGCATGCGCGAATGGTTTCGAAAACAACAACAAAAATATTAAAAATTGAATGCAATCGTACAAAATTATAACGAAAAAGTAAACTAGCTTCATCGAACTAAATTGAGAATATCAACAGTGTAATAAAAGAATTAAATACGCCTTGTTAAGGATAGCTCAAATTTAGGAATGGTCATAAATAAAATTTAAATGGGACGCTGCTAACTTTGTAATGAAAAAGAATCATCAAAATCGGTTAACATTGTAATTCCTAGGTAACACACACGAAAAAAGTACAGTAAAATTGAGAACCTCCTCTTTTTTGAGGTCATTACTTCTACTTCGGTAGGCAGCGGCTTGGCTCTGCCCCTGGCATTGCTGAAGTCCATGGGCAACGGTAACCACTCACCATCAGGTGGGCCGTATGCTCGTATGCCTACAAAGGCAATAAAAAAAAAAACAAAAAAAAACTTCTATACCGTTCCCTCACTACTGAGGATCGCGACCACATGTGACGTTCTTCCACTGTGTTCGATCATGGATGGCAAGGACTGCATGGTACAGACTACCACCAAGTGCTTCTCTTACTAGATCTGACCATCTGGCTGGTGTTCTGTCCACGGCGCGCTTGCCCTCTATGACGCCTTCAGCTCTAACACTAGGAGCAGGCTTAGGGACTCTGGTAACCGTACTCGTCGAACTCGACAAAGAGTTCGACGTGCAACCTAACCCATGCATCAGCTCGCTGAGTTTCTCGCCGGATCTTCTCAGCGGGTCGCGATTCCGATCCATTAGTAGATTCATTCGCGAATCAGCTGCTATGGAGTTGTTAGGTATCCGTCGGAGGCGCTCGGGCAGCTGTTAGCAAACCCACCCCTCCTGGTTGAGTCTTTGCTCGCCCACCTGTCCTGGTCAAACTGGAAAGGCCTCAAGGACACCAGTAATCCTTCAATCATAATTAAAAAAAGCTTGCCCTCTATGCGACCCGTAATTATGAGCTTCTCTAATTCATGTCTAGGAGACCGCATGATATGTCCAAAAAAGCTCATAACACGTTCCCGGCAGATGGAAGAGAGCCTTTTTCGGATGTTTAGCTGCCTTAGAATGGACTCGTTTGTTCTCATGGCCTCTGTCATGAGGTCATTAACAAATTACTAAAATCTGACGAACAGAATATAAATATCGCATAATTTACATACCAAAACAAATCCCACAGAAACTGCCCGTTCTCCATTTTAATACACTATAAACTTTTACTGACATTAAATTTGAACTTGTCTCTAATCATTTTAATATACGTTAAATAAAAATGTTTATAGTTTCTGAAACGTCGTGTTTTAAAAATATGCCACTTTTTATGTCCATAGTTTATGGCGTCACGTTACACCTTGGCTGATAATTTTCACCATACCGTTGAGAACGATAATTTTTCATGTTTCCTTAATTAACGTGTGCCTGAAACAATAAAAAAAAATATATTTTTAGTCTATATTTATCATCCATCGTAACTAACGTTAGCACACCATTTTTATAACAATTTAGAAGAATTACAAATAATCGAAAATTTAGGAATTTTATTAACAAAATAATTATTCCCTAGCTTTCACTACTGCAAATTATGTCGCGGTTGATTCAATGATTGTATAGATTAGTGTGTATAAATGCTCAAACAAATATATATAGGTGTTTATATGTTTTTTGTACAATCATATATTGACTTGACTGAAAAACTGCGATCAATATATCAATTCATTGATTTAAGACACAGACGCACTTATAGATAAGACAATGGCTATCTGTTTGGTCTTCCGGCTTGCGTTGCTGAGGATATATTAGTCACAAGACACACTTTATTTAAAAAAAAAAATTGTTACATCCACCATTGTTATTTGCCTTTAAATCTCCAAAAATCGTTTGCTTGAGGCTCGCGAGGATGGTGCAAATCATATACCGCCATGACCGAAGATCTAAATTATTATTTTTACTAGGCTTAATCATACATTCACAAATATAATATAGATGTTTAATTGTTACTATTTTTCCTTTTTTTTATTTTTTTTTCCTACCTAAGCTGATAGCCTTGAGAGGCTATATCAGCGTCGCCTTAACTAGTAGGTGAGCTCACGGGGCTCAAACCTGATGACGTTGCTAACACGAACCCTAGAAAGAGCCTTCACTGAATCTACCACCGGATCGGAAACGAGACCCACTGAGAAGATCCGACGAGAAACTCAGTGGACTGTGTCTGAGGGTTAATTTACTCGTCGAGCCCTTCGTCGCAAGCGACGGGTTCGACGAGAACGATGACCAGATATTTTTCCAGCGATTTCCAAACATTCGATAAATTATTAATTACTCTGTCATTCTTTACGAAAAGCTCTAAATTTTTCTTTGATTTTTCGAAAATCAGTCACAACGTTTCTATATTTAACATTTTAATTTAATTACATTACATAACATTGGATTCAAAAGAAAAATGAAGTTTACATTAGTCGTATAATAAAATCAAACATGCAATTAAATCAGTTTTAGGGAATGTTGTGTCAGCTTCATCGTTTTTTTCTGTCGCGAATCAACCTTAGCTTGACCGTACGTTTTGGTAACTGTTTTCATGCTATTCAAATTTCTACCTTACGTCTCAAGGTTTTTGGCGACATTCCTGGATATCTGCGAGCTCTTAGCAACTGAATACCCGAAAGACAGTGAACTAATGTGTCCACCTACCACATCAAACCACAAAAATCACATTAATGAAAATTCGAAATATAAATAATCATTCGATATCGCGTTTTTATTGTTACTAGAGGTCCCGCAGTAGTCGAAATTCGACTACAATTAATTGGAATTGTAGGTTTGTACACTATTATGATTGTATTTTATACTTCTATAATCACAAATTTCGCCAAGACTACACTATAAAAAATATTAACAAAGACAAACAATGTTTAATCTATTCTCAATTTGACCACAGACGCCAACAACAAAAGTTTGACAATAAATAGTATGCATGCGTGTGTGCGTCAAATACATGGTATGTAGTGTGTGTAATGTTTTCTTTATTGATTTAATGTATCTTTTATGCATTATTTTAAAAATATATTAGCATTGTGCATTTCTTCTCTATATTCTCTATAAGTGTGGGAAATTTCATACTCCTCCGTCCGTGCAATTTTCGTAAAACGGGATACAAAGTTTTTGCTTCACGTATTAATATATAGATAATACTATTTCTGAAGTTTTCGTGTCATTTCGCAATGACAGTGATCACGAGTACTGTAAAGTATAGGAAACGAAATTAATATTATGAAAAAGTCTACGATTTGTGAAAAATCGATAAAAGAAAATAAATACAATCATTTCCTTATCCCGATGATTCTAGTCATGATAATTAACGGATGTTATAAAATTGTTGTCTTTCAAACTAATGATAGTATATATTAACTAAGAAACAACATTAAGCGTTATTTTTATACTGCTATACAATTAATTAGGCATGAGTATTTTAACAGCTACATACAAAATGTATTTAAGTACTTCGCAGTCTGTGGATACTTCCAATTATGTGTATAAATTAATGAGTTCCCATTCTTGTAGTGAACGGAAGTACTAAGATAGATGCAAACAACGGCGTTCGTAACACTGAGTCATTTCATGCTAAAGCTATCTATTCACTGAACCCTTTCTACCTTTTTGGTATTAAAGCCAATTTCGTCTTCTTCGGCCAATCTCAAAGATCTCTTATATTATTATGTTTATGGGAGGTTTTTTAAAGTAGCTTCCTGTTTGTAGCACTTTTAAATATTATCGGATAATTTAGTACAAATCACGAACTCGATTACGTGAATGACTGCAACAATCTTCATATTATTATATTTGTCGGATATACGAAAATAATTACAAATTGCTTGTCACCCATATTTTGGTATTTATAAAACTAATATGACATAAAATCCAGAAAAAAAAACACCGATAGAGTTTACCTTTTGTGTCACGTGAAGTTTATGATGTAACAACAATCCAATATAATATATTTGAAAAAAATATTTACATAATATAATTAATACGCAACTCACAAGATTGTAACGTGCAAGCCTTAAGGTTTTTTTTTTATTGCTTAGATGGGTGGACGAGCTCACAGCCCACCTGGTGCTAAATGGTTACTGGAGCCCATAGACATCTACAACGTAAATGCGCCACCCACCTTGAGATATAAGTTCTAAGGTCTCAAGTATAGTTACAACGGCTGCCCTACCCTTCAAACCGAAACGCATCACTGCTTCACGGCAGAAGTGGGCAGGGTGGTGGTACCTAACCGCGCGGACTCACAAGAGTTCCTACCACCAGTAAGGGTTTATGCGTCACGTTTTTCTGTTTCCTGAGCCTATTTTTTAGTTAAATCAAATATCCTATTGAGACGAGAAGTCGTTGTCGGATTACCGTTGGCTATCAATGGGATTAATCCAATCTCAATGTCTATCAACCCATTAATATCGAAAATGCTTTATTGATAGATGTGGCTTCATTTTTCTCGCAAGCTTATGGCTTATCAGATATCAGACGTTTACTGTTGCTTATAAATAGTAAGTAATAATACCGGCAGCGAACACAAAACACAAGGAATCGCCTGCGCTAAAACACTAAGAGGTAGTTGACTAACTACTCAATAAAAATTTAAATAAAAACAAGCTGTGGTTCCAAAAGAACCCGATCACCACTTCACACCCGGTAGGCCAAGAGCTCGTACGCCCCACTACCCAAAATCTTAAAGATAAACTATTAATGCATAATTGAAACCCAAAATAAACACTTCGCTTTCAAAGTTTAATTTCTTTTGTGGTTCTGCAAAAATGATCGCCAAGCAGACGTCTCTACTATGAAAGCATATTAGCGAAGCACGCCTATAATGTCTCAGCCTGTTAATTTATAATATAATTATGCTCTGCCTGTAAAATGTACAGAGAAATTTATTAGTGATATTTCATTCGAGATACCCAAGAGGACGATGTTGTAAAATATGGAGTTCCTTAACCCGATTTCGTAGTTCTAAAACAAATTGTGTTTTACATGATAATAAAGATATTCTTTATTCTCAAAAGAATTACATAAATTCACTTAAATGAGAATATTAAAATAGTTATAATTAATTCAGATCGTTGCAGTACATATGACAATAATTTATAGTAACAACATGCTATGACAATTATTTACCAAAAACTATAAAGATTATTTTCTTAAAATGTATAAACATAATAACAATAATAACGATTTCATTTACGATATATAGCATTATAATATTAAAACTTCCATAACTCATTGGAGCGATCTTATCACATTTTTTTAACAATGACACCATACGCCACCGAAGCAATGTTCATATTAACTTGAAGCGCTGAATACGTATGACCATAACAGGTTTCCGGATTTCGATTTTACCACGTCTGCTCTATTAGACAAAAGAAGAAGTTACACTTCAAAAGTAATCAAATTAACCAATAACATCTACCAATTTCATGATATGAAGTTCATACATTTAATGTGTTTCTTCAAATCATACAGTTATTTTTTGTGTGTGTTTTTAAAAAAAGTTTTATCTTCATTAATACTTAACGAAATTTCGATGAATAAATAGACATGCTTTAACAAAAAACGACTTCAAATAGAAAAAAAAAGATATTCCAAAACAAATTAATATACACTAAAAACAATAATCATCGAAATCGGTTGGCCTGATATTGAGTTATTCATCATATTTAGATTTATATGGTTTTCTTATGGATACCACTATCAGAACTGGATTAAATTGTAAAAAGAAATACACGGAAAGCGTCAGCTTTCTAATAAAAAAAGAATCATCAAAATCGATTCACCCAGTCAAAAGTTGTTAGGTAACAAACATAAAAAAAACATACAGTCGGATTGAGAACCCCCTCTTTTTTTGAAGTCGGTTAAAAATCGATTAAAATTACTTTAATTGATTCCACTACTTTTTGAAGTCACAATCGTCATGTGTATATTAGCGGCTTCGCTTCGTAAGAGCTGAAAATCACGTGAATACGTCAAAATTGTACTTTAATTAAAACTTGATAAACGAAAGAAAATGCGAATCGCTTCACATGACCGCGACATTATCTCGCTCTGAGTCAATAAACGAGACAAATATTGTGCGACGAGTATTACCAAACTATTACGACATGTAACCTGCACTGTGTCAGTGTGCTAAAGCGGATAACCTGTTATCAATTTGTAAACATAACGTTACATTTCTCGCCCGCTTCGTTAGCTCGCAACTTCACATCCATTTTGCTGGATACGATAATTTTTATGAAAACCTCTAAGGTCATCGATTTTAAAAAAGCTTAAAAAAAAGTTTAAAAAAACTTATTTATTTTTCTACTTATTTATTTTACAATTTTTAGTTGAATTTTAATTTTTTAATTTATTTTTTTAATTTTTTTTTTAAATAGTGAATTGTCATCGGTCCTTAATAAGTATACCAAATTTCAAGTTAATCCGATGTTTTGAAGAGGATAAAATTTTTGTTCAAAGATTCCGTTACAAACATACATACATACGTCTGAAGCTAATAAAAGCGTATTAAAAATCTAAATCACATAATTAATTCCTATTTTACGAGTTAAATCTCGCGTTTACTATTTCGGACGTTTCCAATACTGCTGTTTTCGTTGTGACGGACAATGACGTCATCTGTCGACATTTGAATATTGTGCTAAGCTAACTACTGTCTTTTTATTTATTTAATTACTAGCTTTTGCCCGCGACTCCGTCCGCTAAATTTTACCGCCACTTCATTTTCAGAGAAAGTGAAAATATTTTTGAATTATAGAATGTTAAGGAGCTATTTAAACCCCTATTTTGAAACATTCTTTATTGGTGCTCCACTTGTATTGGCCTTACCGTGACTTGCACTCAGAAAGGGCACTTACATACCTACGCATCATCTTCACAGCATCTTCAATAGAAACGAATAAGATGAAAACAATTTACGAGTCGCGAATATCGTACGAAATACTGTGCGGTATATGTATGCGTATGTATATGTATGTATGCGACTCGCCTAATTTTACCATACTATAAAAATAATTTCCAAAAGTTCCACATTTGGAGCACGCTTATTTTCTAAGAAACAAACAAATCGAATTATAGGCGTTTTAAACTAGTAACTAAACCTATGGTGAATTCAAGACAAAAAACAGGCCACATTTACCAAATCACAATCTTAATTAACGTGATTCATGAACTAAGCTATTCGTTTGATAAATGAAGATGCTTCTAATATCATGAGTGACAAATACACGAGACGATGTAGCGTTGATGTCTTTAATAGCATAACGACTCCAATTGAAGGTAGTGGAATTCTTCGGGGGCCTTTAAACGTTTTATGCGTTATTTATTTTAAGGTATGCGTAATGAAAGCATTTTGGACGGAGCGCCGAACAAATGTGTCAATTCTCGAGGAGCTAAACGTCAAGACCCGTCTATCTACAATCTGCATGCAGCGTCTCCTCAAGTACTTCGGACACGTGGCCCGACAAAATCCCGAGAACTTGGAAAAATTAATAGTTGTAGGTCACGTGGAAGGAAAGAGAAGTCGAGGAAGATTGCCAACCAGGTGGACGGACATTATCAAGGAGGCCACAAACACCAGCGTCCCGGGCGCCCTTAAGCAGGCCGAATGCAGGCAGCATTGGAGGAAGCTGGTGCAAAAACTGGACCAAGGTGGTCACGACCCTCAGCAATGAGGAAACGACAGAGAAGAAGAAGAAGAAGAATGAAAGCATTCAATTGACTATGTATTACATCCATGTACTAGATAGAACCTGATATTAGATGAGACTAAACAAATTTTTAGGATTCGTTTTAATTTGGTTTTTTTTTTCAGAACTCATGCTGATTTACTACAATTAATATTACGTGATTAATTTAGATTGTTAAGTATTTAGCAATCTTAAATTTAAATTCTTCAAATGAGATGAATTATCTTAATCATTCTTATTCAATATTATTACTGGCTTATTCATTAAATTTACAGTGGGAAGGAAACGCATAAAACTGAGATCTTAGAACGCATTTACGTTGTAGATGTCTATGGGCTCCAGTAACCACTTAACACCAGATGGGCTGTGAGCTCGTCTAACCAACTAAGCAATAAAAAAAAACAAAAACGTACTACTGACTTCTACTTGCTTCTTCTATGCTACTTCGAGAACAATTCGTTTAATTTCATTAGATAAGTGATCGAACTCACAGCGAACCTGATGCAAAGAGATCATCGGAGCTTTTAGACAGGAATGCCGAGAGCTACTTTCAAAAATCAAACTTATAGCGAGACGCCCTGTTTTTCATTGTTATTACAAGCTGGCATGTACTTCTTTCAATTGATAAGTAATCACTGTTGCTCATGGACATAAGCAATGCATAGCCAAACCGGTGTCCACTGAACATGATCACCGGAACTGGAGATACAGATTTTACATGATCAAATGCTCTGCGACCAATAATCGACTTTTTTTTTGGGGGAAATCCTCATGGACTACCTCCGCCTGGGGAAAGGTGGAGGGGAGTGCCGGACTCATACCGACTAAAACCACCCAGGTGTCTCCCCACACGTGCGCGCGGGGCCGCGGGAATCGAATTTTTTCCGCAGCCCCACACTAGTGCTGGCCTGGTCTGTCCAGGCCTCGTCTCCTGCACAGAGTAGTGACGCGTTCAGTTTTTGTTTTTTTTTTAATCTCCTCTAATGCGACCCAGGCCCTCTATGACTTACAATTTGGTTACCATGCAATTATGAGACTACAGGTTCACGTTTAGTGGGCAGTGGTATTGAAGTTTTGCTGTTCATAGACACAGCTCCATAAAGGCTAATGAACTTCCTTTCGGCTAGCAGCGATGACGATATTAACCTTAATTTATTTAAGATATTCCGAGAGCCGTAACTCGTAAACACGTCAATACGCGATATAGCATCAGCGGTTGCAATAAACGTTCCAACGAAGATAGAGTTTACGCACGACTAGTTTTTAAAAGCACTGCAATCCCTATCGTTAAACCTTGCGTTTCTCTTGCAGTCTCGCCGGCGTGACCTGAATAAAGGCTGCACTTATCATTGCCTACATTGCTAAGGTAAATAAAACGGAAAACAAATTGGGTCGTCGGATCATAGCAGCCGCTTTCTTGGGCGCGTGTACGCATGGTGTGGTAATTAATCGAGAGAAGTTTCGTGAAATAATTAACGTTCGAAGCACGCTGGGTAGAGATTTTTGGAGATTTGTTTTCAATTATGCTAGTTGTAGTAATCATTACTTTGCGAGTGGAAGAGATAAGCGTACACCTAGTTCTAAGCAGTAGCCGGAGCCTTTAAAACACTAATTAAAAGCTATCACGCAACTGAGGCTAATATGCAGTAAACATAATTATTTTGGTATTCTAGGCCCCTAGCAGTAGTAAGTACCACCATCTTGACTATTTCATGCGCAAAGTAGTCATGCGGCTTAGTCTGTCCGAAACTCTGAATACAATTGAACCTTCGACTTCACGTCTGATGGTGGGTAGTAACATACACGCTGTGATATCTGGACCTCTTTAACCACTTTACGCCAGTGCCCACATATACGAAATATATATCATAAACAAAGAAGTTGGTCATTGAAATGTACGAAGGAACAGAATTATAATTTCATAAGTGCTTTATGATAACCCTAGACAAACGCGCCATAGCCAGTAGCGATGAAGAAAGAAGCTCTCGTAACCGGAAAATGACAAAGCAAACAAATTCATTTATTAAGAAATACATTTAATATTTAAAGATAAGAACTTCATAAAGCCCAAATAAATCATTTTTTTTAAATACATTTTTTACATTAAATGATTTTATTTTAAATTATATAATTAATATTAAACAAAACATAATGTATCGGAAGCTTCTGTTTATTAAATACGATACAACAAAATAATTGAACATAACATAAAAAATATTAAAAAAAAATGTTTTGATTCTTGAATAGAGATGAGGTGTATAAATGATAGCTACTTATATAATATAATAATATAACAAAATCGGATGCTATCTTTGGAATTTCGAAAACGAAAACATCATAGGTGATGTAATTACAAAATCATCTATTAAAATAATCTAAAATCATACTCATTATCATTGAATATACCGGATGATAGATACGAGAAGGTTATTGTTGGACACTGCGCCTTCATAAACCAACGCGAAATCAATTACGACCCAGGAAATGAGTACACATGGAGTAATAAACATAAACAATCGTAACTATTGAATTTCAACAACTGCACAGCTTCCTGCAATAGGGAATACGGGCAGATGCATTAAAATACAATAAAAGGTTTAGTATCGTAACCATAATTCGGTATAGATGTGATTCCGTGAATTCAATGAAACGAAAAAAAAAAAAAACAATTCTGTTTGAATATCAATCGAAAAACTTACCTATTAACGAGAGGTGTTTTACGATATTTTGAATACACTAGATTTGCATATCATAAATTGTCTATGCTTTATTAAAATTACAGGTGAACGTCAAAATTTAAATACGCGCGCTTTAGCGTAAGGGCGGGAAACACGCCTGCGCCTGTAGACCGTACGTCCGTGCGTGTTGCTTTTAACCGACTGGACATTAAACGAAGCCATGACTTCCAAAGCCGAATGGATGCAGAGTACTTTACTGTAAATACCAGGAAATCAGTCCTGGCAAAGGGACACTTGGCAGTACATAAAATAAGAGAACAAATGGCCAGCAATAACCCACCACATTCCAAATTCAAACTTGTAGTCGCATTCAGTTAAACGTGAACTATTTTTTTTTTACATAGGAGGCATTATAAGGAATTTTAATATGTAAATTATTCATGGCGTACGGCGTAGATAAAATATGTTTGATTGGTAATAAAAAAAATTGTAACAACGAATCGAGAGGCCAATTATTGAGTGGTCGGTTGTGTTGCAAAATGTCGTCTATCATTCAATTGTGCAGGGGATATTAACGTCGATATCAATCACATATCGTTGTATCGTTAAATCTACCTTGGCAGAGACATGTGTTTTTGATTATTGGCACATGATCGAGATAGAATAATATCAGTAACATTAACATTACTATTATAAATAACATTTATCTAAAGAACTCTGTGGGAATTAGGAAAATTTTATTACAAAACATTTTTTTGTTTGTTCTTATTTTTTATCTTTATGGTAAACAAAAATAGTCATAGTTAAAAACAAATTACGTAAAAGTTAATTATGGGCAAACCTAACATGCGTTTTTAATTTCAGATTGATTCTTTTGTTAATTTGTGTATAGATTTCTCTTTCATACAAACTACATATATCGTTGTAACGAGGCTTGGAGAAGCCTATGTCCAGCAGTGGACTTTTGTGGGCTAAAAGATAGAAGATAGATAGATAGATATATCAACGTCTCCAAATAATAATATAAAAGTACAAAATTAACTATATCACGCATTCAAATCATTGCACAGAAATAAAATCGAATTATAGCTTCGTAACTATCTCTGTCGTATTATAATATTTTACAACTCATGCGTTTGTTTCATTACAAACATCAAATTCAGTTCACGTTTACGAAACTGTTCAGATTTATGGATTAATAAACAAACGGTGTATGGTTTTTGTATTATTCGTGCTAATAAAAGGACGGAAATATTTCTGGAAACGTCAAATTATCTATCTATATATTAATACGTGAAGCAAAAACTTTGTATCCCTTTTTACGAAAATTGCGCGGACGGAGGACTATGAAATTTTCCACACTTATAGAGAATATAGATAAGAAGTGCACAATGCTAATATTTTTTTAAAATAATGCATAAAAGATACATTAAATCAATTAAGAAAACATTACACACACTACATACCGTGTATTTGACGCACACATGCATGCATACTATTTATTATCAAACTTTTGTTCTTGACGTTGTGGTCAAATTGAGAATAGATTAAATATTGTTTGTCTTTATTAATATTTTTTATAGTGTAGCCTTGGCGAATTTTGTGATTTTAGAAGTATAAATTACAATCATAATAGTGTACAAACTCAATTACAATTAATTATAGTCGAATTTCGACTACTGCGGGACCTCTAGTATCTATTAAACAGCAACAAAATAGTAGATTTATATTAGAGACTAGCTTTTGCCCGCGACTCCGTACGCGTGGAATAGTTATTTTGGCATAACGCTAAATTTTACCCCGACTTCATTTACGTAGAAAGTGAAAATATTTTTGAATTATAGAATGTTAAGGAGCTATTTAAACCCCTATTGAAACATTCTTTATTGGTGCTCCACTTATATTGGCCTTACCGTGATGTTATATATATAGCCTTCCTCAATAAATGGGTTATATAACACTGAATGAATTTTTCAAATCGGACCTGTAGTTCCTGAGATTAGTACGTTCAACCAAACAAACTCTTCAGTTTTATTATATTAGTATAGATATTACAAAACAATACGAAACGCTTTAGGGTTTTAATATATTTAAGTTTTATTTATTTTTAATTTCAAGTACCTACATTTACGTTCACATTTAAGTGCAATTATGTTTTAATACAACCTGTTTCTGGCTTTAAACAATCTCAAGGTCCAAATTGAAAATCTCATCAAATCAATCGAGTGGTTTTAACACCTGATGTTAAAATCTCAAAGTATTGGAGTTACGCATGTCCTATCATATAAACCGAAACGCATCTTTGCTGTATATCTCGTCCCGTTACCAGAATAGTAAACTAGTAAAATCTGGTATCAGCTCGTATATTCAGTCTCTAAAAGGGGTCCTCTGAGTCTGAGCACTCCACGGTGGTCTGCGACAGCGATTCTCAAACTTTAACATGCTAACCGTAATAAAATGACGTTTGATCGTGATTTTATTTCCTAGATTACTACTGTAAGGTTTATTGTAAAATAATTAAAACAAAAATAATAAAATGTATCATGTTAAACTTAAGGCATTATCGGATTGTCAAATAGCAACACTGTTAGTGGGAGCAATGGCAGTAGTGGGGACGTGACATAATAAAAAAGGCGGTAGTCTGAAGAAACGACACAGAAATCAGTGTATTGAGTAGTGAGCAGATATCTAAAGATTGTACAGGTGGAGTTACAAATAAAGCAGTTTAAGTGAACTATTGCAATCTGTGTATTTATTTACTGGCTCTGGAGTATGAGTTTACACTACATAAACAATTCAAGTAAACACAATATTCAAATGTTAACGAATAACACCTAAGACGTTTTCGTGAACACGAAAACTCTAATGTATTCGAAATAAAAAACGCGAAATAAAACTGTAAAAATAGTTCTATGACTCGCGAAAATTGAAGGAAATACAAACTGAATTTGATATTTAAATTCAAACTCAACAATTAAAACGAGCTCACGGCACATCTGATCTCAAGTTTCATACCGGAGCGCTCATGAATATATGCAAGATGGTGGTTTTTACCCTTACCAGTTGATAATATGAACTACCTACCGTTAATAAGAAATAAGATCAGTTCTCTACATAAATTTGCAGGAAAAAACAAGTCCCCTTGTATTTAATTCATAGGTACACCGAGAAATATCCTCCCTTAATTAATGGATTTTTGAAGTAGATTTTCATCGTCAAATCAGACGTCGAAGATGTTAAATTGGTACGTGAGACCGAAGTTTGAGAAGCCCTGGTCTACTGCGAACAGACAATTCAAGGTTCATTGATAAATTTTATTGTCAAACTCGCATTATATCGAAGCTTATACCACTTTGACCCCACTTATGTAAATACTTTAATTTGACAGCGGTTTTTAATGCTCATAGTATTATCGGGGACTTTCACTAAAATTGCCTTTCCACGTAGTAATACTCACCAATTAAATCAAGAGAAATTTTGCGTGAGCTTGGCATTCAATACCTAAATAGTTTATCAATGTATTATTAAGCCTTTTGTATTTTTATAACATTTGACATTGTGTGTCTTTAGTTTAGTGCTCTTTCCAGTTGTTTGCCACAAGAAAATACATGTTAGTAGTTAAATTATAAATTATTGTCATTAAGTAAAGCAAAATCACCTCACGAATGAACTATATCATAGACATAATACAAACAGTTTCCTTCGGCAGATTCAGTTTTAACATTATAACGTAAGAACAATTAAAAATTTTATTGGTAAATAATTAAAGTAAACCTTATTACCGAAACATTAAAATGTATATCAAAATAATTGAACATACATTTCAAAGAGAAAGCTGTCCTTGGATCTGATTAGAAACGTCAAGCCCTTATAAGGTGTTTGTTGTCATAATTAAAGTAAGTGTATACTTAAAGTTAAGTATGACAGTTAAATAGCACTTGTGTGCATTAAGTACATGTGGGTTCAGTCCTTTAGAGGCACCAACGGTATGACGATCAACTTATTCCTTCGAGAAGACATTAAGCACATTTAAATTGCTATGCACAGTAAATAATTGATTTCTATTTAATTCTGCCATCTCTGTCGAGTCCTAATCCACAAAAATTGTAGTGGTTTGAATTTCTGTAACCAAAAACATGCGATATACAAAATAGAAAACACAACCATTAAAATTAACAATTAAAACTAAAATACTTACTACTAAACTAACCTAAACTAAGTAAATATTAAAGTCAATGAACTCACGTAAAATAAATGTTTTCCTTCGAAATAATTTTAATATTATATACCTGGTATAAATTCAAAACGTATTGTTTCCCTTAGAGAAGCTGTGTCATCTTGATCAAACTACACGATAACGATCTAGTCGACCGCAAACTCAGCCCTAGAAATTGTCTGTTTGTACAAGACGGGTCAACGCACGCAAACTTCCTACACATTAGATATTAGGCACAAAATTACTGCACATATTTTTTTTAAGATGCAGTAGCTACTTTCCTTCACCGTGCACTATTCAAACGAAAGAACTTTTGAGCACTAATTACCGACGCCACCCTACCTGATACGTATTATGATCATTCGGGCGTACAAACATATCAATATGAATGCCGATACAAGCCGATACAGCTATACTGGGTTTCAATGCAGCAGATATAGGCAGAAAGTGACGCCTATCCATACGGGGACAGAAACTCTCTATGGTTTTATTTAGTACTCAATGTTAATAAACCTTCACCGTCAATCTTCAAGTCATTCTCGTGAACGCGAACACGACCATACATATCTTAGATATGTGTAAGTTAAATAATGAATTAATTACTTAAGTATCTAATTACTGGATTTGAAGGCCGGTATAGTGAGGTAATTCATTATAATGCCTGGTATACACGCATCTTGTTGATTAAGGCACAATGATTTAATTTAATCTAGTTAGATCAAGTCGCGGCTTACGGTTTTATTCAAGTCCCGGAGTTATACAATTACTACACAAAAGCCACGCTCGTTCTCTAGATCTTAAATAAATGGTTTATTTTACATACAAAACGTTATTTCATGACGAAGTAACGTCAAACAACAAACAAACATCGGCGGAGAGTACCGCTCGCACTCCTATTAAAACAGTATCACAAACAAGTTGATAAACCTAATGCCACACGTTCGCATTTCAAGCGACTTCAGCCGAAACTGCAAGC